CTCTTAAATGTAATTTACACACATCTTAAACACAAAAGACAACCAGATCATGATACAGTGATACCCACAGACTCCAGATCTCATATTTTACACATAATCAACATATTTATTTCATTTAAACAGTCAAGTTATTATGAAAGCAAACAATAACATTTTCAAACACTTTACCCAGAATCGAAGCACTTTTCAAAACACTGAACACACACATTTCAAGAATGTTTGGACAGAGGTAAAGTTGGTTTTATATTCGGATATTCAGACATTCTCCTTCATAATATAATTTCAGAAAAGTGTTCCTTAAATAGGGAAATCACATTAGCAGCAAATGACTATCAAAGTACAACATTGTTCACAGTGAATTAGATCATACTAAGTCATACTTGCAAGCTAAATGAGATTGAATATGCAAAGTAACATGGTAAACAGTATAGAGACTGCTAAACGAACGAATGTGTGAATATAAAACCAACTTTACCTCTATAATTTTCAGCACCTGTAAGAACCCGGTATATATAATGCATGTTTTAATAAAATAAGCACAATGTATACAGTACACACACTGCACACTCTGTTACATAATGCATAATTGCTGAGAAGACAATCCCTACCAATATAGATCTACATAAATTAACTATCATCCATCAAGACTAATTATCAGAATATATATATATTAATGCATATATATTTTTATTACATTTATATCGCGTTCAAGGCGTCATTAATTTTAATTTCAGATGCAAAAATATTAAAATCTCCACCTGTTCGCTATTACAACTTTAATGACCTGTAGGCCTGAACAAACAAAACAAGTCACGCAGGAAACACCATCATAACTAAAACCGCTAGCATTCATTAGCACGTTAGCAGGAAGTACCTGCCCTGATAATGTACTTTGCGTGTTTGAACACATTACTCGTTTCCAAACACCACCACAAAAACATTGCATGTAACCTTGCCATGATCAAACACCCAAAATACAACACAATCCCAATAGTTACAAACAGAACACGTTTAAATGGAACAAATAAACACTTATAATCGCGTTTCATCCACATTAGGTGTCATTTGATGGCAATTCCCCAAAGCAAACTTTTGTGCATGTAACTAGACTTAGCTCGCGGTTGCGCTACAAACGCCTCGCGCAGCTTTACTTCGTTTATGTAGTTTTTCTGTCTTACCTGGATTCGCTAATGTGTGGTAGATCAGTAGAACATCCTGAAAACGATCATAAATAAAGGTTACGGTTCGGTTTAATCGCCATGAAGCCCGGCGCTGATGTTGTTTTTGTTTTCGGCCCTTTTCGAGACGCTGAGCGCACGCGCCATGTTAACTCTGTCCGCGCAAGGCATTGTGGGCCGCGTCAGTGCGGCAAGCGGAGGGTATATGGGATACTGCTACGGAGCAGTATCCCATATATATGGGATGAGCCATATTTTTCTCCGATCAATATCTGAAACAAATAGCTACTTAATTACAAATAAGATAAAATAAGTTTCATTTAGAATTATTCACTGTACATACCCAGTCAATACTCTTTTAGTAAGATATAAAAAAGATATCGATACTAATTGTTCATTTTGTGGGCAGCACCCTGAGTCCCTGGTTCACTTATTTTGGCAATGCTCTAGGTTACTTTGGAAGGATTTTTCTTTTTTTATTATTGAGAATGTTGATAAAGAATTTTCCTTACTATGGTATAATGTTTTGTTTGGTTTAGTTAATTATAAAACAGAAGCTTTACATAAAAAGTACATTTTCTTAATCTTCTTATCTTATTAACAAAATTTTACATACATAAATGTAAATTTTTTAAACCAAAAACCTTTTTTATATATTTTGCTTACTGAAATGCAGTATTACTTTGAAACAGTTTCTAACTCTTTTACAAAAAAGGCTTTAAAAACAACTGAAATTTGTAAAATATAATATTTTTCTTTAATGTGTAATGTATTTACCCCTCTTGTTTGTTTTTGTTTTCTTTTGTTTTTCTGTTGTTTTTTCTTTTTCCAAAAATGTGTTCTTTCTGTCTTTTCAATTTCTTTTTAATACTGTGATTGTATATTCTCATTTTCGCATAATAATAGTAAAAAAAGGATACTGCTACAGAGACTTAGCCTACGTCAATTTAATATACTTTTTGTAACACTGTACAACATTAGTTACCATTTTTACATTATTGTGAGGGTTGGGGTAGGAGTAGACGTTTTAATGGGTAATTTAATAAATAATATGAAACATACTCGGTATAGTTAGTGTTTTGCATTACGGTGTGGTTGGGGTAGATGTTAATAAAATACAATTTATAGATAATTTTATAAGTAATATAAATAATTGTAGTCAACTCTCAGCTGCAGCTGTATCCCTTTTAGCAACAACTGCGGCAAGCAAATGCTAAAGTCAAGATGGGACACATTAGTGTGAGTGTTGGGATTAGGATTGGGCCATTTCCAGCCTGGTTTTAGCTGGTCAGGCTTGTAGATGACCAGCCAAAACCAGCTATGTCCAGCTTAAACCATGATTTAGATGGTAATTTTCCAGCCTGACCAGCTAAGACCAGGCAGGAAATGGGTGGAAACCAAATGGCCTAAACCCCTCTAAATCCAGGCTGGTCGACCAGCTAAAACCAGCCAACCAGTTTAGGCTGGTTTAAATCGTTTTTTTTTTTTTTTTTTTTTTTAGCAGGGGTAACATTACTGTTTTTACATTACTGCGAGGGTTTGGTTTTTGGTTGGGATACACGTTAATAAAACAAAACCAATAGATAATTTAAAAGATAATATAGATAATTCTCGTTAACTTTTTCAGCCGCAGCTGTATCCCGTTTAGCAACAACCGCGGCAAACAGAGAGTAAAGTCTAGATGGTATACAGCTGCGGATACTCGCGTCAATTTTTGGGAAACTGACTGTACGACATAATTACTGTTTTTACATTACTGTGGTAGTTGGGATTGGGGTAGATGTTAATAAAATACAATTAATGGGTAATTTAATAAATAATGTGAATATTACTGAGTATAATTACAGTTTTTACATTACAATAAGGTTGGGTTTAGGATTGGGTATGGGTAGATGTTAATAAAATACAAATAATAGATAATTTAATACATTTTATGAATCATACTCGGCATAATGACTACCTTTACATTACTGTGAGGGTAGGGGTAGACGCTTATAAAATACAATTAATGGGCAATTTAATAATTAATCCAAATAATTCGCGTTAACTTCCGTCAGTAGCTGTTTCCTTTCTAGCAAGTGGAGAAAACGAAACCGAATATGAGTGCGGCGTGACATCTTGTTTTATGATAGTACGCCTATAGGTGGCGCGCTGCGGTCCAAACTACAAAAACACTGTAAAATAAGAATAATATTAGAAATATATATTTTTAAGATTAGTTCACCCAAATGACATCTCATTTTTATTTATAATCACTTAATTTACATACCTTCAAGTGCTTCCAAACTTTTGTGATGTATTTAGTGCTGGACATAAATTAATCGTGATATCTCATTCATTCATTTTCTTTTCGTCTTAGTCCCTTTATTAATCTGGGGTCGCCACAGCGGAATGAACTTCCAGCATATATTTTACACAGTGGATGCCCTTCCAGCTGCAACTCATCACTGGGAAACATCCACACACACACTCAAACACTATGGACAATTAATTTTACCCAAGTCCCCTAGTGCACGTGTTTGGACTGTGTGGATAAATCAGAGCACCTGGAGGAAACCCACGCCAACACGAGGAGAACATGCAAACTCCACACGGAATTGCCAACAGACCCAGCCGAGGCTCAAACCAGTGACTTTCTAACTGTAAGGCAATTGTGCAACCCATTGCGCCACCGTGACGCCTAATCATTAATCTCATCCAAAAAAAAAAAAAAATGGTTTTGACAATCTAAGTGTGCATACATATATTTGAGAAAATGTTTATTTATATTTATATACAAATTCTAAGATTAAATGTCTATGTATTACAATTGTCTTGTTTTGTTTCTATGTATGTGTGTGTATCACATATACATTATATATATATATATATATATATATATATATATATATATATATATATATATATATATATATATATATATACACACACACACACACATATATATATATATATATATTGTTATTTAATTGTATATAACAAAGATTGTGTGTGTATGTGTATATATATATATATATATATATATATATATATATATATATATATATATATATACATACACACACACACACACACACACACACAATCTTTGTTTTCATAAAATAAAATGTTTGTAAAAGTTAATTTATAAAAGTTATTTATATATATATATTATATTGTTATTTAATTGTATATAACAAAGATTGTGTGTATATATATATATATATATATATATATATATATATATATATATACATACACACACACACACACACACACACAATCTTTGTTTTCATAAAATAAAATGTTTGTAAAAGTTAATTTATAAAAGTTATTTATATATATATTATATTGTTATTCAATTGTATATAACAAAGATTGTGTGTGTGTGTGTATATATATATATATATATATATATATATATATATATATATATATATATATATATATATATATATATATATATACATACACACACACACACACACACACACAATCTTTGTTTTCATAAAATAAAATGTTTGTAAAAGTTCATTTTTAGTGTAAATAATTACATCATATTTAACATTCAACAGGCTACAAAAACAACTGCAGTACAATATTGAGCCTTAATTGCAAAGTAAAGTCAAATTTTGTCAACCATGCCAACTGTAAACATGTACATGTCAACTACAAATAAACAATGTAATGAATTAATTAATAGTTTTAGCCTTTACTCACGCGCAAAGGAATGCGGAAGCGTGATAGGTTGCTTGCGCTGGGTGTCTTCAAAGTTTGGCATTCCGCTCTAGTAGTGCGTACATTTCCTTTCGCTATCGGACTGTCCCGTTCACTCATCTCTATCAGTTTGCTCCACATCACAGCATCATGGGGATGTTTCTGAGGGCGTTTACTTTAATCACTTTAGTATGTCTGCTAGAGGCCAAACAGAAAGACTTTTACACGTTTAAAGTGGTAAACAGCAGAGGCCGGTTAGTTTCTCTGGAGAAATACAGAGGATCGGTGAGTCTCCAGATCAGATGCAACTAACATGCATGAAAGATTAACAGTGACTCTGCATCACTTCTCGACTGCTGCATGCGTGCTTTATTAGTGCTGTGTGATCTTTACTGTATTTCCTTTCTAATAAACTACTAACTTAACCAACCCATAACGTGGAGTCGTGCTTCATTCATTGTGTGTCTACGTGGCAGACTGCTGGGGTAAATCTCAACTCATTATTTCCTCTGGATATACTAGGTTACATCTGCAAATGACTCGGATGAATTAATAATGTCAGCAGGCGTTATTGCATGATTATGGTGATGAATATTGCATGTGCATTTAAATAAGAAGGAAATATTATCGACAGCGAGTGATTATAATGCGCGCAAGTTCAACGATTCACAATTGTCAATGCGAATAATACGCTAAATAAATATGTAAATATTGGTTAATTATTATTTACTGCATAATTGGTGGCGTCACTGTGTAGCCTATTGAAAGATAGATAGAACACTTGTTTAACATCAAATATTTGGTGTGCGTGATGGTTATTATGACGTAAAATTGCTATTTAAACTAAAAACATAAACATATTATGGTAAAAAAACGGCTCTTGTGGTTTAATTAATGTATAAAAATGACAAAACAACAAATTGATATTTAATAATATTAAAAACTGAGATTGCACGACTCATTCGAGTCACTAGATGTCGATGTTGTCTAACATTTGTTATTCTTAAAGGGACAGTTCACCCCACAATCTAAATGATGTCAGTATTTGCTCACCCGTGACCCGTTACAGTTGTTTGTTTTTATTTCTTCTGTTGAACACAAAGGCAGCTGAAAATGGTCAGAAACCTGTAACAATTGACTTTCATAGTATTCGTTTTCCCACAATGAAAATCAATGGTTTCTGTTTTCCAACATACTTAAAAATATCTTATTTTGTGTTCATCAGAAAAAAATGAACTTAAAGGATTGTGCCCACTTGAGGGTGAGTAGATAGAGTAGATTTGGGTTAAATCATTTTCTGAGACCCCTGAAAATCTTATATTGTTAGATGTGCTTACATTATTCTTTATATTTAATAAAATCTTTTTTTTCCCAATCAGATTAATATTTGACAAAACATTGTTTACAGTGTTCTATCTATCTATCTATCTATCTATCTATCTATCTATCTATCTATCTATCTATCTATCTATCTATCTGTCTGTCTGTCTGTCTGTCTGTCTGTCTGTCTGTCTGTCTGTCTATCCATCCATCCATCCATCCATCCATCCATCCATCCATCCCTCCCTCCATCTCTCCATCCATCCACCCATCCATCCATCTGTCTCTCCATCCATCCATCTTTCTCTCCATCCATCCATCTGTCTCTCCATCCATCCATCCATCCATCCATCCATCCATCCATCCATCCATCCCTCCATCCATCCATCCATGCATCCATCCATCCATCCCTCCATTTCTCCATCTATCCATCCATCCATGCATCCATCCATCTGTCTCTCCATCCATCCATTCATCCACCCATCCCTCCACCTCTCCATCCATCCATCCATGCATCCACCCATCTGTCTCTCCATCCATGCATCCATCCATCTATCCCTCCATCTCTCCATACACCCATCCATCCGTCTCTCCATCCATGCATCCATCCCTCCCTCCCTCCATCTCTCCATCCATCCATCCATCTATCTCTCCATCCATGCATCCATCCTTCCCTCCATCCATCCATCCATCCATCCATCCATCCGTCTCTCCATCCATCCATCAAACATTATTTAGTGTTCTATCTATCTATCTATCTATCTATCTATCTATCTATCTATCTATCTATCTATCTATCTATCTATCTATCTATCTATCTATCTATCTATCTATCTATCCGTATTGGAAGAAAGCTGACATTGCAATATTTAGTTTTTCTCCGATATTGCGATCTCATTTCACAAGATGACTTGAGTTACTCTATTTGGATAGAATTTCTGAGCATTGATGGGGATGATTTTGTAGGTAATGTACAAAATTAAACAAACAAACTTGAGCACAAAAACAAAAACCAATAGAACAAAGATGAAAATGAATTAAACAGTGCTTTATGGTTTTTGGTGGAGTCTGCAGGTACAGCAGTTCAGAAATAAATGTAAAACAACACTTCAGTTTTCACTATAAATACACTCACCGGCCACTTTATTAGGTACACCTGTCCAACTGCTCGTTAACACTAATTTCTAATCAGCCAATCACACGGCAGCAACTCAATGCATTTAGGCATGTAGACATGGTCAAGAAGATCTGCTGCAGTTCAAACCGAGCATCAGAATGGGGAAGAAAGGAGATTTACGTGACTTTGAACGTGGCATGGTTGTTGATGCCAGAAGGGCTGGGCTGAGTATTCCAGAAACTGCTGATCTACTGAGATTTTCACGCTCAACCATCTCTAGGGTTTACAGAGAATGGTCCGAAAAAAAGAGAAAATATTCAGTGAGTGGCAGTTTTGTGGGCGCAAATGCCTTGTTGATGTCAGAGGAGAATGGCCAGACTGGTTCAAGTTGATAGAAAGACAGTAACTCAAATAACCACTCGTTACAGCTGAGGTCTGCAGATAAGCATCTCCGAACACACAAAACGTCCAACCTTGAGGCAGATGGGCTACAGCAGCAGAAGACCAAAACGGGTGCCACTCCTGTCAGCTAAGAACAGGAAACTGAGGCTACAATTCACACAGGCTGACCATGTCCATCCCTTAATGACCATACTGTACCCATCTTCTGTTGGCTACTTCCAGCAGAATAATGTGCCATGTCATAAAGCACGAACCATCTCAGACTGGCTTCTTGAACATGACAATGAGTTCACTGTACTCAAATGGCCTCCACAGTCACCAGATCTCAATCCAATAGAGCAGCTTTGGGATGTGGTGGAACGGGAGATTCACATCATGTGGATGTGCAGCCGACAAATCTGCAGCAACAGCGTGATGCCATCACGTCAATATGGAGAATAACCTCCAATGCCTTGTTGAATCTATGCCATGAAGGATTAAGCCAGTTCTGAAGGCAAGTAAGGTACTAGTAACGTGTGCCTAATAAAGTGGCCGGTGAGTGTAATTAAACAATTAATATTTTTGTTAAAACAAAAAAAAAACAAAAAAAGATTTCATCAATCAATCAATCAATCAATCAATCAATCAATCAATCAATCAATCAATCAATCAATCAATCAATCAATCAATCAAGATTACCACTTCCCTTATTTTAATGTGTACTTGCACTCCTATACCCACTACTACTGTGCTGTTAAAAATGCATACATTAGGATTAAACAGCTCTTTACATACAATTATTCATCCTCGTTGCTTTAGTAGTTGTGACCCACGGGTCAGTTTTAACACTAAATAACCAACACAAACATGAAGAGCTTTTATTAACAGTGGGCTTAATGGAAATTCTGTATGCGAAGGGCTGATATTATAGATCAAGGGTTGATGGTCAATACAGCAATTTGCATTTAAACAAACGATCCAATATACAGCAAGTCATGTGTGGATTGGATTATCAATGAGAGAAGTGGAGCGTGGAAACCAGGGGCAGATTGAGCTCCATTACTGACCTGAGAGCAGCTCTTAACTAATCTGCCGCTCCTCCACTGACTCCCTCACTGCGCCTCTAATGGGTTCAGTCGGCTTTTAGACCTTAAAAAGCCACACTGCTTTAAAAAGCTCAGTATAATTCATTGACAACTCTGGACTTAAAAAAGACAAAGAAATAAGCTTAGTGTGCTAATTGGTCTTCAGAAATGTTTTCTTCATTTAATGGCAGGTTCTGAGTGAAAATGGTTTCAAATAAATTCACATTTTGAATTTTAAAACTTGACAGGAAGAACATTTTATTTCATGGATTTTTTTGATCAGTTCATAAAAACATCAGTTATCAGTCGATAAAATGATTGATTACAATTCAATCAATCAATCCATTTACCCATCCATCCATCCATCCATCCATCCATCCATCCATCCATCCATCCATCCATCCATCCATCCATCCATCCATCCATCCATCCAACCACCCACATATTTACCCATCTATCTTTTCATCCATCCACCCACCCATTTATCGTTCCACCCACCCCTCCCTCCATCTCTTTACTAATTTATCTTTCCATCCATCCATCCATCCATCCATCCATCCATCCATCCATCCATCCATTAATTTACCCATCTATCAATCCATGTATCCATCCATCCATCTATTTACCTATCCATCCATTCATCCATCCATCCATCCAACCACCCACCTATTTACTCATCTATCTTTCCATCCATCATCCATCCATCCATCCATCCATCCATCCAACCACCCACCAATTTACCCATCTATTTTTTCATTTATCCATGCATTTATCCATTCATCAATCTATCCATCCATTCACCCACCCAACCATTTTTCTATCTATCTTTCCATCTATCTATCCATTTACTCATCTATCTTTCCATTCATACATCTACCTATCTATCTTTTCAGCTATGCACCCATCTATCCTTCAATCCATTTATCCATCCATCCATCCATCCATCCACCCAATTATCCATCCATCCATCCATCCATCCACTTATCTTTTCACCCATGCACCCATCCATCCTTCAATTCACCTATCCATCCATCCATCCATCCATCCATCCATCCATCCATCCATCCATCCATCCATCCATCCATCCATCCATCAAATTATCCATCCATCTATCCATCCTTTCATCTAATTTTCCACCTATTCACCCTCCCACACATTACCCATTTATCTTTACATCCCTCCATCCATCCATCCATCCATTTATCCATCCATCCATCTACCTATTTACACATCTATCTTTTCATCTATTCATCCATCCATCCATCCATTCATCCTTTCATCCATTTACTATCAATTTTTCCACCTATCCACCCTCCCACACATTTATCCATCCATCCATCCATCCATCCATCCATCCTGTCTGTCTGTCCATCTTTCTATAATCTTCAATGCAGTATTGAGTATATGATGAATGTACAGTATCTGTTGTTGATTGTACTGTAATGTGTGTTGTCAGGTGTCTCTGGCAGTGAATGTGGCCAGTGAATGCGGTTACACAGACGAGCACTACAAAGACCTTCAGCAGCTGCAAAAAGACTTCGGCCCGTTCCATTTCAACGTCTTGGCTTTTCCCTGTAACCAGTTCGGTCAGCAGGAGCCCGGCAGCGATAAAGAGATCGACAGCTTCGTGCGCAGAGTCTACGGGGTTTCCTTTCCAATCTTCAGCAAAATAGCTGTTGTGGGTATTGGGGCAAACAATGCTTACAAATACCTCGTCGGTGAGTGGAAGCATTCATTTACACATTTAGGGCTGTGTGTGAAATGGAAATTCGATTTGAGTTTGGGAAAAACAATTATAGAGATAAAATAATTACTGTGTCATACCGTCCCCTTTTTAGAAGTCTGCATGCATTCGTTTGTTCGCCCAATCTCACATGGAAATCAGTACAATCATATACTGTGACCTTTTGAGCATGGGACGTGCTTGATTTATTGAAGTGTATTCAATTCTTTTTATGTTTTTATAAGCGTGAAGGAAAACTTCAGCCTCAAAGACGAGCAGAACACACACGTATAAAGTCATCTTTTAGCTCAAACTCCATCTACGTGTTCAAATACATGCAAAAATGTGGCACATAATTATATAAACCATTGTTTGTTATCTAATAAATGATCGAAAAAAAGTTGAAAATGGACGTCCCGGTGGCCTCGGCTGAGTCAGTTGGCATTTCTGTGTGAAATTTACGTGTTCTCTCGTGTTGGCGTGGGTTTCCTGCGGGTGCTTCGGTTTTCCCCACAAGTCCAAAGACATGTGGGTGAATTGGGTAAATTGTCCGTAGTGTATGTGTGTGAATGAGAGTGTATGGATGTTTCCCAGTGATGGGTTGCGGCTGGAAGGGCATCCACTGCGTAAAACATATGCTGGTTAAGTTGGCAGTTCATTCCTCTATGGGGACCCCATATCAATAAAGAGACTAAGCCGAAAAGAAAATAAATGAATGAATGAAGTTGAAATTGTTTGTGTAATTGTAAAGCCTCAAGAACATTACAAAACTTTGTCCAGATTTCGGCATGATTAACTTGACGTAAACGGTGTTGGGATGTACAAATAGGCATGGGACACAACATTCAATCATTTCTACTTTTGTAGAGTGTCATAGCACTGTGGCGAATTTAGGCATGGGCAATCGTTTACTCCTATTTTTATCCTAGTCATTTCCCCATAGACAAATGCAGTGGAAATTGTAAAGCAATTGCAGAAAAGAGCACACATACACATTTGCAGAACAAGGAGCCGATGACACTAAAAACATTTTCCAGTTCTGAAAACATAAGGAGCACCACACAGCCTTTCTGTTAACTTAAGAGCAGTGTGCTGCACTTTATGTTGCTAGGCAACCACTGTATCAATGGTCTTTGTACTGGAGTGCATGACATTGTTTTTTTTCTGAAAGAGAATGACTCTACGTACTTATTGTTTTCATATACAGAGGGGGAAAACTTTTGAACACGTCACTATTTTTCTCAAAAAACGTATTTTTAAAGCTGCTGTTGACTTAAAATTTTCCTCAGATGTTGGTAACAACCAAATAAATCCATATATGGAAGGAAAACAAATGTAATTAGTGTACAAATGAATGTAAGTATGTGTAACGGAATGAAATGAAAAAGGAAAGAGACAAAGTATTGAACACATGAAGAAAGGGAGGTGTGGAAAGGCAGTGAAAGCTCAGACAGCAGATGAAATCTCTCATTAGTTCTTCAGCAATTCTCTGCCCTTCCCCAGTGTAAATGAATATCAGCTGCTTCAGTCCAACATCTACATTAGCAGGAGGATGAAAACGAAAGCAGGGTGGGCATTTCAGCAAGACAATGATCCAAAACACAGCCAAGGAGACTCTCAGATGCTTTCAGAAAAAGAAAATCAAGCTGTAGAATGGCCCAGCCAATCACCTGACTTGAATCCAATAATCAGCAGGAGATTGAGCTGAAGCTCGTTTTAGTCACTCCTGCGGGAGTTAGAGCTGAGGATTGAGGGTCTAAGTGGAAGAAAGAAAATAGCGGAATGATCAACGCTGAAGGAAAACAGTTAGTGGAGAAACTCGACGCTGGAAAAGAAATTTTTGGGGGATTAAAAGGCTAAGGAGATAAGGGTGGAGATCAGAGAAGGGGTAAAAGGTAGCGGAAGCACTCAACGCTGTAAGGAAGAAAAGAAGGGGCAAATAATTGCCAGGCGCAGGATCTCGACGGCGGAAAGAAGAAAATGAGTATACAAGAGTATATATGAATATATATGTATATATATAAATCACCAAGTAAGGGCCGGGGAGGGGCGGTGATTGACTCCTGCGGGAGTCGAAGCTCAGAGCGACCCCTGCGGGGGTCAGAGCTGATTGTGGGCATTTCTCCTGCTGAAGGAGGAGATTGTATTTTAAATACAAAATACAAAATTAAAGTTCAGAATTACTAGAGGAGAACCACAGAAGCATCAAGATTTTGACACTGTTGAAGTCATATAAGAGGCGTCTTTAAGCTGCCATCACCAAAAAAGCCTTTTATATAAAATACATTTCAGTAGTTCAGCACTTTCACGTTGTGTAATTCCAATGTTAACTCATTTTCCAGATTTTGTTTTGTTTTGTCTTATTTTTATGCTTGTGTTGTTTGGGTTTTTACCTAAATCTGGTTCAATTCCAAGTCAACAGCTCCTTTAGAAACATTAAAAAAAGCATGATGTCTTTAATAGACAGATTTCACACGGCAGCCATTTTAAACAGCAAAATCGAGGCTGCGGTGGGAGGAAATCCAGCAGTATCACCTGAGTCACATAAGAATGTTGTGTACCTAGCTGTATATGCTATCAGCAAAGAGAAAATGACACACATTTATCATTTCACTGCCTACCGAGTGACCCAAGGTCCATTCTGAATGAATAGTGAAAATAAAAAGGGATATCTGAGCTCATTTTCGGCTAAGTTAAGGGAAATGGCACTAGTTAGCTAATGTTTTCTTTCCCAAACACATGTTTTAGATGTCATTAATCAAAGTCAAGTTAATGAACTGATTCTTTCACTATATTAGACTCGTCACAATACTGAATTTCGGTGCCGAAAAAAAAAAAAAAAACGTCCATTTCCCATTAACATTTAAGGCACTGTTGATGGCATTCGTAAACAGCGCTGATTTGCTACTGTGTTCATGTGCTTAACAGAAATGACTGTGATTGGCCGAGAAGATCATCAGTTCACTGCACTTCACTGATGTTTACCGATTGCAAACAAAGATGAGCGATCCGCTGATAAATCGGCTAATCTTCACGGCATTAAAGTGATCCAATGTCTGTGTATCTGTGTTTGTAATCTGTGAAGAGCAGTATACTGATGTCCTTCATGGTCAATCAGTCATTTCTGCTGAGCACTGGTGAATACTTTTTAGAAATCAGCGCTGTTTATGAACGCGATCAGCAGCGCTTAAATGTAAGCAGTAAATGGACGTTTTTAAAAGTTCAGTACCAGGACAACACCATTTCAGACAACATGAGGGTGTGCTACAGAGGACTGCAGTATTTTATCGCTCACCGGGTTACATAGACTGAAGCAGGAAAGCGTCTCCATGGTGTTACTGCCATGAACTAAAACCTCGGAGAACACTTAAGTGTATTACCCTTAAAGAGATTCTGATGTTGTTTGATGCCTAATCTGCTTACTGAATGATATTAAAGTGATGTTTACACCATTTCTGCATTTTGAAATCGCAGGAACAGCTGGAGGGTTGTAGTCCACATCACGTTGTTGCAATGTTTACAGTGCTGAGCATATACTTCCGGGTTTCTTGCCACCCAGCCTTGCTTTTGTGTTTTAAAACAGCGGCAGCATGAAATAAGCACATACTTATGCTGTATATATGGAGCAAAATGCCATCGGAAGGAAGCACTAAATAGACTAGGGGTTCCCAAACTTTTCAGCCCACGACCCCCAAAATAACAATTCCAGTGATTCGCGACCCCTACTGTCCTCGCAGGGACAACACAAAAAGTGCAACAGTCTAACAACCATGTAATGTTTCACTTATTAACTGGCTTGTCATTTGTATGTTGTTTTTTTATGTAACTATTAAACACTAGTTTTGTCTTCTGTAGGTTATGTATAAAATATGGTAATTCTAATAGTTTAATTACACTCTAAAAATATTGTTATTCAAAAAAAATATTAATTATTGCAACAGTTTGCATTAATATATTCAAGTTACGACAACATCTAACAAAATAAAGTTCAGACAACAAACTTTAATATGTTGGCCAAATCTTTTCCTCTTCAATCAGAGGTATTTTTACAAAGCAAAAACCTCAAATTTTTAAGTTGAGTACTTAAAAAAATAAGTTGTTTGACTTAGTTTTTTTCATTAAAATTAAAAACATATCCAGTGTTATGTACTTAATTACATGCCCGTTTTCAAGTTTAGAACCTCAAATAAATGAAGTATCGGAAATTGTTTAATTTTTTGTTTGTTTTCAAATTTACTGTTCAAGCTTGTAAGAAATACATTTAATAACCACATTTTTGTTTTCTAATATTTTTTTATTTGTATTAAACCACAGGTTTTTATTGTTTTACAAAACAAAAACATGTACTGTTCCATATTATCAGTATAGAAAAATAACAAAAAACATCAGTATGTGGACTTAAAAGTACAAAACAACTCCATTAGTGTGGAAAAATTGAGTTATTAACCCAATTTCTTGCTACAAGTTAAATATTGTTTTAAAGTAACTGACAGATACATTTACCTTTAAAATAGCCGCATTTTTGAATTAATGTATTTGTCAATATTTTCCTGTTTTGAAAACTTAATAAAATAATTTTGGCAGCTTAAAAGTTTTAATCTAATCAGCATTTTAGAATTTTTAAGTTACAATAATATGTTAAACTATGTAGTGGTAACAGACCTCTTGAGTTATTTTTTAGAGTGTACATAGATTTTTGGAAATCACCAAGCGACCCCCCTCCCATTTTGTCCTGACCCTCACTTTGGAAATCACTGAAATAGACAATTACTGGAAAATCTATGCATCTTCTTGATGACAGAATGGCGTAACATGTAGTCTGGCATATTTGTTACCCGCGACACGTCAAGATTTGATCTAGACACTGTTTAACCGTGAATGATAACTGTGTAATTTGAATGGGCTTAAATCATACGAACATGATTCTTAAAGTCATGCCAAGCTATATTCTAGAAGATGATCAGATATAAGAAATCAATAAAAAACCTTTTGATCATATTTAGTCATTAATTCAATAATCCCTCATAATCATTTTTTGAATCGTGATTATGATCTTTTCCATAATCGAGCAGCCCTAATCCCTACTAACAACCCAAGCTCATTCTGGAAACGTAGCCCCACGGACGTTTCTGGAGACCGCGATGTACGTGGCCGGAGGTATGTACGGATGTGTTTAGTTTTTTTCGAGCGAACACTGTGGGGTGTGTATAGGGGCCTCCTCTTCGCGCTTGCCGGCCGACGGCTCGCCTCCGAGTGGAGGGCTTTCCTGATGCAACTAGTTTGTCCGCTTAGCTCACAGCGTTGCGTCGGCGGAGCGGAGGCCCCAGAGGAGGAACCGGCCGCGGGGACGACAACCGGGATCAAGTCCGGGGAACAGCGGTTCCAGAAATCAGGTAAGATGAAAAATGGAATCTAAAAAAATAAGGGCGAGAACGCGGCGGGATCCGAAAACGCGGTCGAAATCGAAGACGAGGGCTTTTGCTTTTTTTTGTTTTTTGTTTTTCCGGACGGCTTTTGCAAACCGTCGCTCTGGGTTTAGGGAAGGAGGAGGAGGAAGAGGAGGGCGGCCGGGTCGGTCGATCCGGTGGCTTTTCGCGCAAGAACGGCGCAGGCGCGAATGGCGCGCGCTCCCGAGAGGCGCCCGAGACGCAAAAAAGCGCGCACAGCACAGATCCGCGAAAACAAAAAACGCTCGAATACGTACCTCCCGGGACTTATCTCGCGGTCCGCAGAAACGTCCGCGGGGCTACGTTTCCACAATGAGCCTGGGTTGCCTACTAAATGAGGAAAATGGTAGAAACCATGACAGCATTTATAATGGTTTTAATGGGAACTCGCTTGCCTATTGTTTTTCTACAGGCGGCACTTTGAAACCACAAAGTCCTACTGAGACATGTCTCAAAACAGTATTCATTTAATCATTTTCCTTTGGCTTAGTCCCTTATTTATCAGTGGTCACCACAGCGGAATGAACCGCCAACTATTCCAGCATGTGTTTTAAGCAGCAGATGCCCTTCCAGCTGCAACTCAATACTGGGAAACACTCATACACTCTTACATTTACACACACACTCATACACTACAGTCAATTCAGTTAATCCAATTCCCCTATAGCGCATGTGTTTGGACTGTGGGGGAAACCGGAGCACCCAGGGGAAACCCACGCCAACACGGGGAGAACATGCAAACTCCACATAGAAATGTTAACTTTCCCAGCCAGGACTCAAACTAGTGACCTTCTTGCAGTGCTAACCACTGAGCCACCATGCCACCCACGTCTGAACAACATTAAATACAAAATATAAGGAGTTCCCGCTCAAGCGAACACTTACTATTCAGGTAGCATGACATAAACAAACAGCTTGAGGAAGCTTTTAATTTTTCCCACAATAAGATCACAACCTTACTGATTTGACATGGTTTGCTCTCATCTAAACACTCATCCGTCTTTCTTCTAATTTCAGAAGCGTCTAGAAAAGAGCCGACCTGGAATTTCTGGAAGTACCTCATTGATACCGACGGCAAAGTCGTTGATGCTTGGGGTCCCGAAGTCTCCGTCAAAGAAATTCGCCCACGGATCACGGAGATGGTTCGGAAGTTGATCATCAAGAGGAAAGAAGAGCTGTAAAAATCCTCATCTGCGAACCCTGTTGACACTCAGACCTCAGAAACAGATCTCTTTGAAGAAACACATGCTAATTTAGGCCTCTTCAAACAGCGCAGCGTGAGATTACTCCAGCACAGCTCACATCTCCTCTACTTTGTTGCATCAGATTTGTTCTCTTGACATGTTTGTGAAGAGAAGCACTGAGAAATAAAGACCACTTTTATTAACAGACTGACTAAATGATGGCAAAACAATGAAAAGGGAGCAATAGGATGAATGGTTCTGGAGCTGAAATGTTTGTTTTTATGTACTCCAGCTAACATTTTTACTTCTGCGATCTTTCTAAGAGGTGAAAATGGCTTCAATAAAGGTTTTTTAAAGTGTTTTCAGATTTTATTCACTGATTTCATTTATTTTTCTGATGAAAATATGACTTGGGGGGGCTGGGGGCTGCATAGTGGCGCAGTGTGTCGCCTCACAGCAAAAAGGGCGCAGGTTCGAGCCTCGGTTGGGTCAGCTGGCATTCCTGTGTGGAGTTTGCATGTTCTCCCCTTCTTGGTGTGGGTTTCCTCCAGGTGCTCCGGTTTCCACCACAAGTCCAAAGACATGCGCTATAGGTGAATTGGGTAATTTGTCTGTAGTGTATGAGTGTGTATGGGTGTTTCCCAGTGCTGGATTGTGGCTGGAAGTGCATCCACTGCGTAAAACACATATTGGATTAGTTGGCAGTTCATTCCGCTGTGGCGACCCCTGATTAAAATAGGGACTAAGCCGAAGACAAAAAGAATGAATGAATATGACTTGTGTAACACAAATAGATTATTATAGTACCGTCCCAACTGTGAATTACTACTTTAACCCACAGCATTACATAATTTCACCCAGTACATTGGGTTATTTGGATTTAATGTAATTTATTAATTGTAGTAATACTACTAGAAGCGGTAGTAGAAGTAATATACTACTACTATATTAATAGAGCGGAGAAACTGGCGTCACCTTGTAGGCCAATTGACTGCTAGTGTCACCGACTCGGTCCCAATCATTCCCCTCGCTGGCCAGCAGAGGCCACCATCTCCGGACTTTTAGCATTACATCATCCACTTAAACTGATAAGCGCGCACACCTGAGTCCAATCTCGCTACGACCCACGCTACCTTGCTTGTATCTGGACTCTGAACCATGCCGCCTGCTTTTGACCCACGCCTGCTATTGAGACTGAACTACGCCTGCCACTGATCCATGCCTGTTATATCTCTCTGTGACGTTCAGCCGCCAGCCCTTCGACCCATTTTAAATACAGTTGATGTGGGTTCACACGTGAGTGCGTATTGTATGATTGTGTTTGAACTGTGTCTATTAAATACTGCAAATGGATCCCTCCGTGTCAGGCTCCTCGTTACAGCCAGCATAAAATTGGTTCCCTTAATAAAATCCCCGTAGGGTTTTCCAATAGGTTTTTCGAAGATTGCAAATAATAAGCTCTGTGCTCAAACACAAATCATTACACTCATGTTTTATCCAGCCAGATAATCCTCACACGAAAACACAGTTTTTAGATCTTAAATGCAAATGCAAGAACTAATAAGCTAACATTAGGCTATAAGCGACTATAGGATTGAGAACACACTAGCTTATTTTTAGAAATATGGTCCATGACAAAGATTTACTCTCTCGGCGTATTAAATTATAACCCATGCTCTATATTATAAACAAATACAAATATGCAAAAACACATCTGTATAGACCTTACGTGGCTTTTGGATGGTTTCTAATGTGGGAAATGCATTTTGTTTTGCTTTACTGTTGTTTTAAAAGTTTTAAAACTGTATGTGTAAATGTGCCTACATAGTATTATCATTAGACATATTGAAATAAGTGTATCGCTCGCATGCATACAGCTTGCTTACCTTAACAGACGACAGAAAGGAGGCGTGAGGAACAAGTCTATCAAATGCCTGCAGGTTCCATCATGGACACAGAGCAACATTCAATATTGTTGTTTTTTGTCAAAAAGTACTGCAAAAAGCAGCCCATACAGTCATATATGCTATAAATATTGAGGAGTGTAAATATTGCAGTAATGACAGAGTTAAATGTGTTCAGATGAAGAAAAAAAATCTATGAAAAAATCAACTGATCATGTTAAAATGACAGTTAACATGTGTGTATTTTTACATTTGCATTACTGAAAGCAGGAAAGAGACTGTCACGGTACGGGATTGAAAACGGGAACAAAACAGGTTGTAGAATCCAAGTGCAAATTTTAATGACAATTGTGCAGCGAAAGTCACAAAAATCAAAGTAACAAACAAAACAAACAAGCGAGCAACTCAAACAGATTAACTCGAACTAGACTTTAACAACTGAGACAAGATACTAGAGCAAGATCAGGAACACATACCAACAACAATGACAACGACCACATAGATATATATACATCATAGATATACACACTAGATATCGCATAGGGACCCTGAGCATGCGTCAATAGCGCCGCCACATTGGTACAGTGCTCCCAGGACAAATGTCATTCAACCGCACTAGTCAAGACAGTGTTATTACGTGAAGATGCTGGACTTTAGCGCTGTCTACGGGTGTAGTAACGAGCAAACAAAGAAAACAAAGCACAAAGGCAGAACATTTCATAGGTAATATTAAGTTTTTTTCTGTTTTTGTATGTTCTGAACTTTTGTGCTAATCAGGTAACGTTATTGATGATAATACAGTCTCTTACTGCATTCACCATACGGCAAAGCAGCTCCAACTCGCACTAAACACTCGGCTTATGCTAGTTTTGTTGAATAAAATCAGCAAACAATGCAAAAGAAATATGACAACGAGATGCTGCGCTGCCAGAAACTTGTATTATTGTCGGCTAACGTTAGTGAAAGAGTCGTTCGGGGATTAATTCACAAACGAATCGCTCCCTCCGTCAGTATGAGAAGTGAAAGCAGGAGAGGAGGTGTGTTTCAGGACATGATTATATTAAATTTAACAGGGAGGGTGAATAGTACATTTCTGTACACAAACACAAGCTTTTTGTCAAGGATGCCCGTGCGGTCACTGATCCATCAAGGTAGAAAAGTGATGTAAAATTATAATTTTTGTAATTAGAAAAAAAAAAATTACATACTAACATCCAGGAAAACTCCCGATCATAGATATATGTGTATATGTGTATATCTCTGGCTTTGCATGGCCACAGTCCTCCACTGTACCTCGGTCCTGCATTCATTTTAAAGGAGCGCTACCCTGTAGCAAGATGGCGGCGCTATTGACGCATTCCGTCCAATAGACAACAACAGGCCAGGCGACATCTAGTGTATATTTCTATGTATATACATTAGATGTCGCCTAGCCTATTGTTGTCTATTGGATGTAATGCGTCAATAGCGCCGCCATCTTGGTACAGGGTAGCGCTCCTTTAAAATGAATGCCGGACCAAGGTACAGTGGAGGACTGTGGCCATCCAAAGCCAGAGATATACACATATATTCAACATTGGTCGGATATCCGAATAAACAATTTGTGAATTAATATGTTTTGTGTTGGTCTTAAAACAGGATTGTTGCTAGATCAGAAACTGTGGCCTGAAGTTATCAATAATTATTTATATTATTTATTACATTTCCCCTTTATTGTATTTTATTAATGTCTACCCAAACCCTAAACCTAACTATCACCACAGTACTGTAAAATATTAATGATTGTTTTACAGTGTCACAAAAATGATGCTAAATTGATGGCATAACTGCAGCTGTATCCTATTTAGGCTACACAAAACAGAAACATGATTAAAATACATAAAATCATCATTTCAGAGTATTTGTAAAAGTCGGGATTCGAACCCAACACGTCATTTGAAACACAGTGACAGCGTGCTCACGCACAGTCCACACTAGGCCATATGAAACGGGAAATTCTTCTTGACCTTGACAGCCAAATGCAGATTCGCCAGGTCTCGAAACGCCACATGACTTAAGTGCTTCGGATCATGCTTCGGTGCAGTGTTTCGAAACACTTGCGCTTCGGGATCTCGACACTGTATCGAAACGTCAGTTTCACGTCAGCCATCCCTACCTCTTGCCTGTTATGCCTAGTTCACACTAGAGGATTTTAAGCCTGATTTGAGCCCGATTTGGAAGTTAACGAGCTCGGCGACAGATCGGGCTGTGATCGAGAAGAAATCTGCGGGTGCTCGCCGCTCGCCGCTCTTTATGTGTGAACTACTGAACAACGCATCAACGAGGCTCGCTGACGCGTTGCCGACACCTCGCAGACGGAAATCCAACATTTAGCATGCTGAATATTCCAGAGCAGTCGGCAGACTCAACCCCACGTGTGGTCAGATGTAGTGACGAGCTGCAGCCAATGAGAGAGCATATCAGCATGAGCTGAATTCCTGTGTGTTCAGGAGCTCAGCAGAAACATCTGTGATTGGTCAGAATGGGCATCAGTGCACTCGCTTCATTCTGCGTTAGCACAGACATGAGAGGAGGCTATATTAACAGTGGAACTAGAATTCTGTAACTATTAGAATTACCATACTGCTCATTCTGACCGTTCTCATATGAAACGCCATATTGTCACAACATATTTACATTCAAAGCTATTATTGAGATATTAAAATTAAGCTTTGAATGTCTGACATCATATTTAATGACACCATTACCCTAAAAATATCATATTTTTTTGGTAATACAGCCTATAAATATGTAGTTAAGATACTAGAACACATAAAGATCTTGGCTTTCATTTTCACTTTCAAACAGGAGCTATTTCACTGCACAGAATATGCTGTTTTTTAAGATATCTGAAGTAAATTGATGTTTTTGCCATCAGAAAGTTTTGTTTATGTTAGCAGGAAATTGCTAGGCAAGAAAACGCACACATATTTAAAGTCACAGTGAAAAGTATCAGACATGCATGCAGTCATTTTGACCAATATGGTAATTTAAGGCAGAAATGCTCAGTTCTTTACTGTTTTGTAATAAAAAAAATAACAATGTCAGAAAGAAATACACTAATAGTTAGAAAACGGCAGGGTGTTATAAACATGTTAGTTTTATTTCAAAGAGTTATAAAATTACAAAAGCTAAAAACTCTCTGTGTATCTATCCACTGGAACCTGCAGATGAGGGATTAATCCGCTGGTAGATCAGCTGATTTGACAATGTTTTTAAATGCTTTCTCCAAAGCTTGAAACGCTGTTAGTGATGTCATCAGCACACAAGCAGCCAATAGTGTTCAGCTTTTTCTGACGACTCCTCCCTCAAAATTTCATTGGCTGTGGTTTGGTAGCTTGAATGAGCTGATGGGGTATGAGATGTTGTCAGATCATGTAGTGTGTGACCCCCCTCTTGTGGACCATTCACAGAGTGTTGCGTA